CACTCGGTGACCCTATTTTTGTCAGCTGGATGTCTGTTACATGTGAAAACCCATCTCCATGCTTCAGAGTATCCAAACCAGACTGAGACCTCCGTGCATGCCACATACACATAGACATTCACACATCTGGAATGGAATAAGCATTCCCACTCTGGAGAAAAGCCTTAAAGAATCCCAGAGAGTATAAGCTACAGGTTGACAAGAGCAAATACTTGGGAACCAGAGTGTGAGTTGGAGTGTAACCAGCTAAATCTGCGTCAGTGACCATTAAATGTACTGTCCGGTAAACTTCCCACTGCATTCCCGCCACTGTTAAGCACTCCAAGATGCTGCTCTGCGTGAAGGGAGCTATATAAATGCAATTTGTTGTTGTTGTCCAGCTAGGACCACCATATTTGTTAAGGCTTTGGCTTACAGGGTTAAAAGGAGCTGAGTGGGAATAATCCTTGCTGCTCATCTGCCTCTCCAAGTCCTAATGATGAGTCAGGCTGTCTGGTCTGTCATCAGCCTTTATGAATCCGATACATCTGCTCTCTTCCTCTCACAGATAATCCTAGTTAGTAACCTGCAAACTCCCCGAAAAGGCTTAAGCGTGGTTTAACCACTTATCAAAAACACCAAGTGAGCTTAATCTGCAACCTATTGCGCCAAAGGCAAGAGTGCTATCAAATGAGATAAGCTGACACACAAACAATGCAAAATATATAGAATACCTTCATTTGGGGAAAGTAATGACACCTCGTTCCAGTTGGCCCATACACACTGTAAGCACAGCAGAAAATGGGTCAGCCAACCAAGTGTAGTTGGTAGATAGTGCTCACTTGTACAAATCCATTCAGTGTGTCAAATGGATGGACTCCTGTATCAAGGGTATCCGTGATACCCTTCAAAATTGCCATTTATGTTTGAGAATTTTTGGTTTGCTTGCTGAAACTTCCAGACAGTGCACAATCTCAAGACAACATTCCATAAGATTAGTACCAGGCCAGACATATTTAGTTTTACACAGCAATGTAATTAAAAATTGAAATCTATTATGACTAAGTGTACTCTTTTGATTTGCTTAGTGTGAATGCTTTAGCAAATGAATGCAGGAAGAAATCAATTGCAATCAAGTCACATTTGCGCAGAATCTTCTCAAACAAACTGGATTTCTCATTTGACAGCTAAACCACTAAGGGATTGCTCAAAGTTACTGGCGTAATAATATGCGACTATATTAAACAGCGTTTTTTTCTACACTGTAACATGTTGTGCTAAATACCAACATTCAGCCAGACAGTTGAACGACGGCCAAAATACCACACATTGATCTGTTGCTGGTTGAAACATATGCAGGGATTAGGGTGTCTCGCTAGGGGCTGTACAGGTTGTGAATCCATGGATTTGTAGACTACATAAATGATTCAGAGGTGGAGGAAGACACAAAGCTATCCAAGTTTGCAGATGTTACCAAACTCGGGAGATTGTAAACAACTGGGAACAAACAGGCTGACCAAATGTAGAGGGATCTGAATACATGAGGAAGTGGGTTGACCAACTCAAATGTCATTTTATGTGGACAAATAAAAAGTGATACGATTGAGAAAGAAATTAAACAGTGGGAATAAAAGATGACGGATATTTGAATATACGGCATGACATAGTGGAAGGGTTTGAGGATATCAGTGATAAGGCTCCACTGGCTCCGCATCACCGAACGATCGACTTCAAGATCCTCACACTCGTGTTTTAATCCCTTCACTCCCTGGCACCTCCCTACAATTCCGACCTCCTCACTCCCCAAACCGCCACCCGGGGCCTCCGCTTGACTGGCACTGGTCTCCTGCTGGTGCCTTGCACCTTTCCCTCCACTATTGGAGGTTGCGCTTTCAGCCACTAACACGCCGAAACTCTGGAACATTCTCCCTCAATCTCTATGCCCTGCCCCCTCTCTCTCCCTTTTCAAGGCCCGCCTAAAAACCTTCCTTTTCAACCGTGCTTATGGTCATCTACAACCCCCCCCCCACCCCCCCCACGGCTCAGAGTCAGGCTCCACCACTGTTAAGCGCTTTAAGACGCTGCCCTGCGTGAAGGACACTATATAAGTGCAAGTGGAGTTTGGCAATGGCTGGGGTAATCAGAGGGAGGAGTGCAGGTGAGAATGAGGGCAGCAGAGTCTTGGATGAGTTGAATTTTGTGAACAGTGGAGGAGGAAAGATTGGCGAGGAAGGCATTTGAATAGTGCAGCCAAGAGGTGACAAGGGCATCGACAAGAGTTTCGGCAGCTTGTGGAGAGAGGTATTGTCGGAGATGGGCAATGTGGCGGAGGTGGAGGAAAGCAGTCCTGGTCAGAGACTGGGATGTGATGGAGGAAGGATAACTGGGTTCAAACCTGACAGCTAAGTTGCGCACGGGTTCAGAGAGCTTTAAGGACAGATCGAGTAGTTGAGGAGCTCTGAACCGCAGAATAGAAGACGTTGATGGGAGCCAAAGAGTATGGCTTCCGTCTTGTTGAAGTTTACACTCATCCAGGCCTTGATGTCTGGCAGACAATCTGACGGAACATCAGAGCACTGGGGTTCGCAGTTGGAGGAGGAGACTCAAACTCAGAAGTGATGATGAACATACAGGTCAGATTTAATACTTTACATAAGGATGATCAATATATGTGGAATAGACTACTCATAGTGTCAGTGGAGACACATGGTGTCAGCAAATTCAAGAGTAAATTAGATAGCTATTTGGTGAAAATGGCTGAGGGGTATGAGATAATGAACGTAGCTTTTTATTTTCACTTTGGGATGGACCAAATAGACCCTCGTTCTAGGCTTTGCCACATCCAGGTTTGATTGTTCCAACTCCCTGTTCCTCACTACACAACGTGCAGACCTTCCACAACTCTGCAGCCCATGTTCTGTTCTGAAACAGCCTCCCCAAGCCCATTACCCCCATCTTTGCCTGATTCCATTGGCTCCCCATCTCCCAGCAGGTTGAATTTCAGATCCTTGTCCTCAATTTCAAATGCCTTCAAGGCCTTGTCTCACTCTACCTCTGTGATTTCCAACAATACTACAGCAACTCATTCCGCTCATCAAATATCAGTCTTGCTTCATGACCCCTCTCCAATCCACTCCACCATTGGTGGACAAGCTTTCAGACATTTTTCCCCACTCTATCTCACAGTACCACTGCCTTGCCCCTTCCCTCTCATCCTCAAAACTTTAAGATTTATCTTTTTTTAACCACATTTTTGGACATCTCCCCCTTCAGCTCTGGATCTCAGTCAGATATGTGTAGCTCTTTGATGTGTCCTCTTGACATGAAAAGCACTATAGAAATATAAATTGTAAATACTGTTTTCAGAGATTTATTAAATCAGAGTCATCTACGCTTAATCCATTTTGCACATACTGAATCTGCCAAATAGAGAATTAGAGTTTAGAGGCCTGAGACCTGGAAGTCCACATAGTCTTAGCTTGTGTGTAAGATCATTTTAAAAAGGGACTTTTCACACAGAACTGCGGAATATTATTAAATCCAGTCTTTATTTGAAGCTAGTTTACTTAAAAAGGATCGCTTCTAAAGTAAAAAACAATGTACAATTTATTGGTACCCTAAACGTTAACACAAAATAGACTTACAGGCTAAGTATGGATATGACTGATCTCACTGGCATTTCCCCAAAAGTAATTATCTATAAACAAAAGCTTTGTGGAATTGAAATTCCGACTTTCTCTTACTGCAATTCTAACAGTCACAACAATGCGTTGACAGTAGTGCTCCCATTATAACATGATGGTAGGTCCATAAAGTCCCACCTTACAATTAACTGGGCCTTGATCATTAGTTTTGCACTTCCCTATTCACTTTGCATGCACAACAGTTTGCCTTGCTGGGCATAAGTTCAGTTTTGGGTCCCTACATTTTACTAGATGATGATACTAAATACTATAAACTTAATCTTCTGTCAAATCTGCACACATACTATCGTGAAAAGGCATATTTGCACAAGGTAATATAAATCAAGATTGAGCCCCTTGGAATTGCACAGGTTCTAACACTGACCCCGTGCGTGCGAGGAGCTTGAGAGTAAAGCTGCCTGGCTCGCAATCCTCCCATCGAGGACCATGAAACACATGCTGGTCAAGGCAGGATCCATATTAGCTTTTAAGAGGGAACTGGAATTGATCTCTAAAATGGAGTAATTTGCAGGGGTATGGGAAAAGGTAGGTACATGGGATTGAAAGGATTGATCTTGCACAGACACAATGGCCTTTTTCTGTGCTGTAAATTTCTAGCATTCTATGGTTCTACATGAGGAAGAAAAAAAATTAGGTGAACTAATAAAATTAGAAATGTGATTCACTACATTCATAAATTGATATTGAGCTGCTCTGGTACACAGACAGGAATAATACTGCAATTCTGCCAAACAGCATTATACCAAGAGGTAGTGAAAGAAGCCCTTAAGCCTGTAATTTTGTTCACGTCAGACTTTTTGCAGCCTGTCATTCAATTTTCTCCTTATTCTGACAATGTTAACTGTGAAAGAAAAAAGAGCCCCTCAAATTTATAGCCATGTTGAAAGGGAAATACTTAGATTTAAGATTGAGGAAAAAAGCCTGATTCCAGGCAATGGAAAGGCTACACATAACTGCTTTCAAAGGGAGGGATTATTATTATTTTATTTAAAACATCAATAAAACTTCATAAGAGCCTTATCAGTTCCTAAAGAATACACATGGAAGAGAGATAGTCACCCCCCACTGAGTGGCCTTTTAATATATGTAATAAGCATTTTATATTATACATTGCCAGAGAGAATTTTACAGAATCATTTGGGAGTGATTGGACTGACTGCATCCTTGTGTCATGTCGGCACCATTAGAACAGCTCAAGGGGAAAATTGGAATCAATGTTCTGTAACCAAATTGAAAGCAACACCTCTGGAAACTGTATTCTTTTACTCCTTATCCCTACAGATACATCACGTAGACTTTAGAAAGATGTAAACTTACCCCCTTCTCCGGATCCAGAGCCATTTTCTAAAAAAAAGAACAGACATTGTGATAAATTGTTGTCTTGCAAGGCTATTTTTAATACAGTCCATAGATCATCAAGGATACTTTGAGCAAGCCCTAACTCAGAAAGTCTGATGCATGTAGATACAACAATTCACAGACAACAAAAAATAACCAGGGGCTTTAACATAATTTAGAGATTCTGATGGCATCAGAGCCCAAAGCAACAAAGATCAATAGCTTTATACATTCTCTTGAACACCGAGATAACATAAACTTCTCAAGCATTCTCTGGCTATTTCCATGACACATACAAGTGAGGTTTGCATCCAAATGTTACGCTGCCACCATTTTGTGCTTTTTTGAGTTCATTTCTTCCATTGACTTTTCCTGTATACATTTACCCCGACCAGGTGATCATACAATCATAGAATTATACAGAACAGAAGGAGGCTATTCGGCCCATCATGTCTGTGCTGGCTCTTTGAAAAGAGCTATCCAATTCAATCCCACTACCCGCTATCTTCCCATAACCCTGAAAACTTGTCCTCCACTGTAAAATATGATCACGAGGCAGAAACTGACAGATTTACGGGAATGCTTTATCCCAGCAGGAATTTAATGATCATTCGTGATGCAGGAACTAAAGTGTTCAGGCCAGAGTGGTGGTGTTATAGAAACTGGGTTAAAAGCAGTTAAAAACTCTTATGTCGAACACTGACTTCCAATATCCTGCATCGAGCACGGCATTTGAATCAAAGCTCTACACGTGGCACTAAAACAAAATTTCTTTAAGTATAAAATGTAATGACCATAACACTCATTAGTTGAATTTGCAGTTTTTGTCTCCTCTTTAGGAGAGAAACAAGGAATTATTTTTTATGTTTTAAACAGACAAATTACTGAAAAAGAACAAAGTAGCATTTAGGTGTTATTGGTAGAGAGGTTGGTGTCACAAAAGGAACTTTTATTTCTCTTTTCCTGAACTACATTTGGTTCTTTCTTAATACTCTCATTATACACACATGTTTTACACAAATAATGGTGGGGTCCGATCTCCCAATTGATCTATTTGTAACTGTTGTAAAATAGGGGAAAGAACAGCTGAGTCTCCCGTCTCTGCCAGGTTCAAAACCATGTGTAAAGTTTATCCTCTTCTACCAGTTATAAGGTGAAATGCTGATGAGATCTTACTCAATGCCATCATCGAACTGACATACCATAGGCTGTAAAGGTAAGTTGGGTAGAATAATCAATAGGAACAATCAATAGTGGATGCACACACTAAAAAACAATGCTAAGGTCATTTGAAAGCCTCAATTTATTGTAAAATACACTTTGTATTTTTGTGTATTTTGAGGGCGAACACAGTAGTCAATCTGCACATAGCAATATCCCACAAACAGCTAAAAGATGAATGACAAATTTTAGCTGGGAGATTTTTGGTCAGGACACCGGTAGAAAGAGATTGTAGAGGTAGGATGGACCAAGGCGGTGGAGGCATTAGAAAGGGAGGAAGAGAACCTTCAACTTGATCCCTTAGGTAATAGAGAGCCGGTGGAGCCAATGAAGATAGAGGCAATAATCCTGGGAAGCCTGCTATGGGAGTCGATGTGGACTGTGGAGTTCTAGATAGTCTTGAGCTTGTAGAGGCTGGAATATAGGCTAAGCGCTTCCAGACCCTAACCGGTGTGAAGGGCGTTATATAAATTTGTTCTTGTTGTTAAGGTCAAAGATCAGGACATTGCAGAAGTTAGACAAATCAAGCTGCACTGGCTCAGTTTTGTTGACATTATGATGAAGAAAGTTAAGGCTCTTCCAAGATATCTGACAAGTAGTCTGTCAGAGCAGCAGCATGTTCTGGATTCCAGGGAGGAGACAGAAAGGTTGAGTCGGCTGTCATCCACTTGCATATTGAAATGGATCCTACATCTGAGCAGGATATCACCAAGGGGAACATTACACAGGAAAGGATCAAGAATAGACCCCTGAGGACCACTGCATATGACTATTTGGGACGTTGGAGAAGCCATTGGCAGAGAAAAGGGAAGATGCCAGAATAGGAAGTAATAAAACAAGGGAACTGAAGAACCACAGAAGAGTAAATGGGAGGAAGACAAGGGGGTACAGTGAGCCTTGGATGAAAAAAGAAAAACATCCAAAATGTGCACACAGCAGTCTAGTTCCATTGGCATGCTTCAAATCAGCTTAGCACCCTTCAAAATGTGTTCCTTTATAAGTCGGGTGGAATTTTATGGATCCCAGCTACTACCTTATACTGTAAATAGTGAAGCGGAGCTATATATTGACTCATCTCCACTTATTCACTCATCAGAATTCAGATCACACACAGCACCAAAATGAGTTTGAGTTATGTCAAGCTTTCAGACCAAGGACTGTTCATAAATCTGATAATATGTACACTAGAATCCCCTCAACTCACTTCATTGACTTCAACAGATCACCACACACTGTTTTAATTTTGTTTTTTTTATTAAGAGTTGTACACAGGGTGCTGCATTCCTTATAAAACTGCAGGCCTGATAATTAAGTAGCTATTTGCAATCTTCTTCTGAGCTTTGCTAACTTCAGCCTCAGGCCAGGAACTATTAATTTTAAGTTTGGATTCTTGATACTTTCGCACAGTAATACTGCAGACCCATCAGGTACTGTGTGATGCACAACTAAACATTGCTCTCTTCTGCTCTGTTCAGAAAAGCTGACCCACTGTCTGTCAGCAGCACAAGAAGCTGTAATACGTCAGTTGGCTCCTGTACATGCTCAGTGGGTCATTTGAGAATCTGTGTCCAAAGTTCAAACTTTCATAGGTTTTAATGATGTAGTTCCAGGTTACAGCCCACAAGTGAGATTTGCTTAAATACGCTGTTCAGATTGCTGAACAAACTAACAGCCAATGTGTTCCTGGCTATAAACAGATGGCATTTCATGCAACAATTCCAACACTGTCCGATTTTGCATTTGTTCCTGTCAATAGTCCCTTTACTCTGTGCCAGATGTACTGAAAGATGTATCACCACCTAGTTGCTGAACTGTGAACAACAGTTTATACCAGCATATGAAAGCACAACAGCAAATAGGAAAACAAAGTTTCTAGAAAAAAAGCATAAAAATCAGATAAAAATGATGGTAAAGTCACCATCAAATTAGCACTGGGCCACACAGTCTGGGAGGATGCAGTACGTATTCTCTACTGTTGCTGAATTAGCTGATTAGGGTCCTACAAATTGGATTTAGGTTTAGGTTAGAGGAATTAATTGTGGATCCCATTCACTGCCCATGCGTGCAGCTAGCCTGCTTGCTTTCCACGCATAAAAAGGCTGGCCTCTGGGTTATCGGATCACTGATGAAGTCACTTCCTGGCGTGCATGTACAGCAACCAGGAAGTGACCTAATGACCTGAAAGTCAGACTTTTTTTGGTTTTAGCACAGAAACTGATGGCTCACTGAAAGTGAGTCTACAAGCTGAGTGCATGCACAGTTAGATAAGTTACAGTGGGGCTCTCAAATGTGAAATGGGATAGTATGCATTATCATATGTAAAAGATGCTAAATGTGATCAAGAATATATACTCTAAACAATTCTTCTAATTATGTGAAGATAGCGAGACAGATTCGGGATTAAGAAAGGTATTTTTAAGACAGACACCAGGAATGGATGAAACCAAATGGTGTGAACAGGTGTTTTCATCCAAATTTGTCTTTTGTTGGAAGAATGTTCTCAATATCAATCTCATCAAAACAGTTAAACATGGTGCCTTAGTCACTCAGGTGATTGAGATTATCTTTTTTTGGTTAGACATATCTGCCACATAAGGAAACCCATCTTAAGAGCATCCAAACCCAACTAAGAATTCAATGCATCCTGCCTACACATGGAAATCCCAGAGATAGATTGTTGGAATGAAATCGCACACTCTCCTTGGAGGGATACATCCTGCTTACCTAATTCTGGAAAGTTTAGCAAGAACCAAGGTCTACGGACCTTTTGGGTTACTGCTGGGGTCCAACCAGTGAAAACCGCATAACTTGCCGTGGCTATTGCTGTCTGCAAGCTTTCCCATACTTGTTCAGCTAGGACCACCCTACCCATTAGGGCTTTGACTTGCAGGTTAACAGAAGCTGAGTGGGATGACTCCCTGCTTCCATTGACTGGTCTGCCCTTCCAATTCCTGCTAATGAGCCAGGCTGGCTGTGGTGTCAACAGCAATGCCCTGGAATACTGCAGACCCGTCTGATTCAGGATCCAGATTATCAAGACTGCCACAAAGGGTTGGCTTGATTCCAACACTCCATTGTCAAACATATCACTTTGGAGCCGAGTCAGCTCCAAGGAGACCCTGCTTACTCCCCCCCACCCCCCCCAAAAAGGATACCTTTTGTCTTCCCATTCTTCCTCAGAAAGGATGAAAGCCACAGCAATGAGCACATATTCTGAGCAGTCTGTTCTTCTACTGACTTTACCAGCACAGGAGTAAAGTCTATCCACCGTCCATGACCTCAAGTGTGCACATTCTATACCTGTATCAGCTCAGAAAATGCAGCAGGACTTAAAAAGTGATTGGATTAACCTACCACTAACTGGCCAAACTGCTGCTATCTCACCCAGAGCAGAAAGGATTTACTGCTCTATAATCAGCATAAATACTGTCCAAATGAAACGTAATGCTCATGCAATCACTTCCTACATGCCAGTAACTTTATGTTCAAATCGCAAAAAATCATCCCTATCAGCACAGAGCCAAGGAAGCATGTTGGACAATGCTCTCATCAACAAGGACGACTGTTGCCTGAAGCACAACTGTACTGATGTACTCATCCATTCAGTTTCCATCCCCTCTGTTGGTAGTGACTTGTCACCTGATTTGAACCAGTTGGTGATAAGGACATTGAGAGGTGATAGTTTTCCCCTGGACTTTTGTGATGTTGAGTAATGGGCAGATCACCCATAGGGCAGAACTGCTCTGTACTGAATTCAGCACAACCCCGTTAAGACACAACTCTTTATTACATGTTTCTGCTTATACTTGTTATAGTACAAGACTGCTTGTAGCACAGGTCGGTTTTGCATCTGCAGTGCACGTGAAGTGACATCAGCAGAGCTTCCTTCCAGTGTGACAGTGATTTAAGCAGTGCTTCCCAGTATCATGTAAATGCGCCATGCATGAAGTGACAATAGTAACATGTCCTACATGTGGCATGCATGCACAGTGTGCAGGAAGTGATATTAGCTCACACCCTGTTATAATTTATAACTTTGTTAAGCTCTCCGAGACACGACCCTGCTTAGAAGCCGCTATATAAACACAAGTTATCAACGTTGTATCATTTGGCGTCTGATTTTATGGAGGCAACCATCATCTTATAATGAGGATGGACTCTAATGGAGTTCATTGGAGTTCCAATAGATTATCTTCAGTAGTCAGTGAGAAATGGTAAAAGCTCTTTCATCTATTTCACTTAAACATCTTAAGTAGGTTTAGAGTACTAATAGTCCGCAAGTTGGAAGCATAGTTCATTTTGAATAAATAACCTGTCACACACATCTTCTTATTCCATATCAATTTTCTTATTTCCTGGCAAACTATGGTACTTTTTATTTTGATTAACACCAAATTGCTAATGCTCGTTAAGTGAAACCTGAAAGATTCTCTTTGTTATCAAAAAACAAACAGGCTTAATTGAATGTTTGGCTTTGTTTAAATAATAAGCAATGAATATCTCCTAGATTTTCAAGTGATGAGCTTCGAGAAATTTTTTGGCGTGGAGTATTTAGATGAGAATGCACTGCTTAAATAAAGTAAAAAAGTAGTCATAGAAAAGAAAGAACATACCTGTGTAACAGGGACCATCTGTTATGACTGTGATCTCTTTCTGATACTTGCACGCAGCTAGTCTCAGGAAACATTCATTCTGGTAGGCGTCTCCATTAGATCCACAAACAGGAATGTAATTTGTATGGCACTGAAAGGAAAAAAAGAGCCTCCTGATTTATCACATCTTTGCATTATATCAAAGGTCTATAGAATAAGTTTGAAGCTATTACTTGGCACCTGACTTTGGCAATTACAAACAGTGCCTGAGATCAGTTAACAAACTGCCAGTCCATTATTTCAACCATCATCTAGAGAACAAAATAGGGAGAGCTAATTTCATTGAAATTCAGATTATTGGGATGCCACTGCTATTGTATAAAATGATCTAACATACAGTATATATGTATAACATATGTATAACATTGAAAATAGTACAGTAGGGAGCATTGGGAATAAAAGGGAGATTGAAATGATTGCTCTTTAAAAGAGCCAGCACAGACATGATGGGCTGAATGGCCTTCTTCTATGCTGTAGATTTCTATGGTTCTATTTTTTTAACAGATCAATAATCATTTGCTAAGGAGTCGCAGCGCACTATAAATCAAAGTTCTGTGGATTTCATCAATTTGGTCACATAATTTCCTGAAAACATAAGAGGTAATTCTCTGATCACCATTACATGTAATCATTCGTGGAGTCTGATAATGGGGAAATCCCATGATCAGTTAGCGGTGCCAGGTGGTAAGATGTACCAGATGGTGGAGAATCACAAACTCTTAACTTATCAAAGCTGGTAACTTTATCAAAGAATAGTAGAATACTTCAGCACATATTTCACCTCATAGTTATGCAGAACCTTTGGAAGAGCTAACACAAGATCACAAGAGAAGTTCGGTTGAAGAATAATCTTTGGCCAATTTTATCTCATCTTTCCAGAATATCCACTCTACCAATCTCCCATTACAGCATCAAATTATTTTTCAAACAAGTCCGGTGACCTGGCCTCAACCATCCTTCCAGTCCCATTCCAGCTGTGAATTATGACTTCTACGCCCTGAATAGTGTTTGAGTTACTGAAGAACAGAACTGCCAATATGGGCTCCATGACAGACTGAGTCAGGAAGCAGTCATGCACTACATTGACAGGATCAGAGTCCTTCCCACCTGGGTATTCATATTTTATGTTGGGCTGAATGAACCCCCCTATCACTGCTACTTTCTTTTTCTTACACACACTCCGGAATATTATTGTAAAATGACAAGTTGTTGTCCCTATATTGGCCTGGTTGTCGAAAGCACATCCCATTGATTAGTCTGTCCCAGTTCTTGTTGAAGACTTCTAACCAGAATATTTCATACTATGATTGATCCTGTGATGTTGACTCAACTACCTTTACTTGCATGTGTCCTTTACATCTATGGAAACCCCTCCACCTTTCCTATAAAGCGCTTTGAGAAGTCTCAAAGGCGTGATAAGGCACTATTTCAAATGCAAGGATTATTATTATTATTATTAGGAACGTCCATCATCTTGCTTCAGTTATATCTCTGTGATTCCTACTATACCGTAATCACCAGTTGCCACAATACCACCATTTCATTTCAAATTCTTCCAGCATTTATGTGTATACATGTAAATTTACTCTTAAACTTTCCTGTCTGGTTACCTGGTCTCACTATGTGGGGCTTTTCTGAGATCTTTTCATTTTAGATAACTCCCTTCTTTTGGATTGATTTTTATTCTTAAATTCAACTTTTCCTATCTGTTCTCCATGATCAACAGGGATGATCTCCTTCTTATTTACTTTGGCATTCTCCCTCCAATTCCCCCTTTGAATGAAATGCAATTACTGCTTTTTTATTCTATGCCAAGAGTTTTAGCTCTCCTTTTAGTTGAATGAAAACCATCTTTCTCATACATTGTGTGTACTAGAAAAAAATGGAATGATTCATGAATTTGCACGTCAACTTAACTGTTTAGTCCCATTATCCTGCCTTTTCCTCCATATCTTTTCTATTTTTCCATTTCAAGTATTTCTTAATTCTCTTTTAAAAGCTATTAATGGATTCTGCCTCAACCAATAATACATTTGTTTTAAATAAAGTCCTCTAGCATTTTGCTTTGTTTTTGATGAGGTAGCTGAGAGATGGATGGAGAATCACCTCGCTGTGGGATTAAATGACCCTGAAGCTTCAGTTACAAGTATCACAGTTTTCAATTAAGGTTAGAGAAAATCTTGATGGTTTGATTACAAAGGATTTACTCAGTATTTATAATGGTTTCACTGTAATGTGCTGTTCTTATATGTTAAAAGTCTGGGATTTCAGCCTTCTTGAACAGATGTCTGCAGGCTAACATCTAAAGGCAGCATCAACTGACTGAACCATAATATGTAAATCAACTGAATGCATCAGTCAATTTTTAAAATTCTAGTGGTGGTGTTCAGACCTCATAAAAAATTTATGAAATGTGCAAAAAATAAAAATCATGCCAGTTACATATTCCACTGCCTTAAAGAGTGGAGCTACTTAGTTCTAACTCACAATGTGGTTAAGGGGAAATACCATTAAAATGGAAGGCAAGGTATATTAATCTAAAACATTCGCCTGAGCTGAATTTAGACTCACTGAATTCAGTGTCATGCATTTTCTGTGAAAAACATGTCTTAACGATAAGAGTTGTTAAAATAAATTAATCTGACATATGTAGATTGGACGCATGGACCTCTCAGGTTAAGGCTCACTCCCACAGCCAGTTTTTAATAATAATAATAATAATCCTTGCATTTGATATAGCGCTTTTCACATCAGGAGGACGTCCCAAAGCGCTTCACAGAACACACTGTAAAGTGAATTGACTGTATATTTGTGGGCGAACGCGGCAGCCAATTGCACACAGCAATGTCCCACAAACAGTCGTAGATTGAAAATGACCAATTTATTATTGTCTTTGGTTTTGGAGGGATTATTATTAGGCGTGTGGAGTAAGGAAACTTGCCCAAGGTTTCACCCTGCCTGGAATTGAACTCAGATCTCTTGCTTGCAAAGCGAGTGCTCTAACCACTAAGCTACAGGACTCTACTGTATTTTAGGAATTGATTGGAAAATATGATGTTTCATAACAGAGTCGGTAATATTTTTAATTATTCATTGTACTCTGTGTTCCCTATATCAAGTATTATGCAGCTACATAAGCAACAACAACAAAGTTACATTTGTATAGCGCCTTTCACATCGGGAAGACGTCCCAAGCAAGCCTGTTATGCTGCAAAGGGCTGAAGAGTAATATTTTAATCAACAGCAAATCATGATACAATGAATTATGGGAAGATTATACTGTAAAAGCAAGTCAATTGGACCAAATGTGAAAATGAACAATATTTTATTAACGAATGTATGTGAAGGAATGCAAAAGAAACATATTGCTTGATCTGACTAATAAAAGCAATTCAAGGCTATGAAAAGCACATATTCCTCAGTGTAGCAAATCACAATGAGTCATGCATAACTCGATGGAGCATATACGGGCATGTAGCAGAGGAATCGTTCAATGATGATCCTCATTGCGGTAAACTACTTACAATTCTTTCCTGAATGCACAAAAGCAGGTTATGAATATATTGAAATTGACAACATTTGGAATATTAGGCATAAAGCTGGAAATTTTCATTTGCTGCTTACTTATGAGTGGGCTCTGCTGAAAATTCCTGATCACCAAATCCAGATTGCATCATATTAACCTCTGCAGAATAAAGGGAATAAGACAGATGCTTCCAAAGTACAAATATTAAAAACCATGGGGAGTGATTAGGAGAGTAGAATTAGATCAGGTAGTTCATGCTAAAGACCTGAAGAGCTGAATGACCTGTTTCTTTGCTGTAACTTTCTATCTGGTAACATAAAGTGATTGACTGAAGCATAGCAGCAGGATAACATACATACGCAGGAACACATTGGGGTTTCTCATCCCACATTAGGACTCATTGAGCTCATAGTCTAGACTGACACTCCAATGCAGTTCTGGGGAAGCGCTTCTTTGTTGGGGTTGCCTTCAGATGATGTGTAAACCTGAAGTCCTGCCCGCCTGTTCAGATGGAAGTTAAAGATCCCATAGCATTATTTGAAAAGTGAAGGCAATTTCTCCTGGTGTTCTATTCAAGAATACTCCAGATTAATTGAGCATTCATTTATAGCTGTTAATGGATGCAAATGTTTGCTACGTTTGGCAGACATTTGCATCGACTAACAGCTATAAACGAATGACCAATTAATCTGTCATTGCACTTGTAGCAATTTGGAGATATTTTGTTGTGCTAAGGCACTTTCAAAAGACACATTGCTTTCTTTAAGATGTTTTATGTAGAACTCAATAGTTGTTCTGATTTTTGCAAAACCTTAGACATGTTTTAGAAATACCTTAGACATACTTTAGAAATACAATACCTAAGCTATCATGGGTGTTTAGGGATATTGTGTGCACAAATTAATTGCCATGTCTGCCCACAAATACAGTCACTACATTTGATAAGAATGACCTCTATAAGACTTTTCCACGTGATAAGTCTAAATCAAATGCAAGGATTATTAATTTCTATTATCATTGTGTTTGCCACATCCTTCACAACCATTACGTTCAAATAAGGTCTTCCTACATCCACAAGACATATTCTCCCAATTTTGCCTATTGCCTTTATCATCTCTTTAATGTCTCCTACTCTCAGTCTGCCTTTTCCTCATCTCAGACATATTCTCATTTTCATTCTATCCCTAAGAACTGTGATCCTCTTAACCTTCAAACTACTCTCTTCTGTACTACTATTACATCTCGGATTTCTAACATTATGGAGGCTGCTAACCATTCTCAAATTATTCAATATTCTGAAAGCTCTGGGCAGAAGTAAGAATTGTATCATGGTTGCTAAATTGCTAACTTTTTGACAGGGGTACTTACCTCTGGACCTCTCCTCTATTTTTGTTCAAAAAGTAATTCTTCCTTTTTTCATCTCTTTTCTCCCCTCTCCTGAAGACATTAGACTTATTTTTCCTTTCCACTGGAGAACTGTCCCACTGGATAGAGCCACCCTGAGGTACCTTGCCTAATTGATAATTGTTCATATGTGGGCCTGGAAATTGACACTGAATTTTGGC